CGTTCTTGCATCTTGACGTGGGTGGTGTGGATCAACGTTAAAGGGTTTGAACCCTTCAAACCTAACACTGATCGTCTTGGAGTTTTGAACTCACAAACAAAGGTAACATCACATGCCATAAAGCATGATTCTTGATTGCATGTGTAATTCCGCATATGAAAAAAATTGTTTTTCCCTCTCACATGCTACGGCCTTCAAAGCCATTTTACTTTCAATAAAATCCTAGTATTAACCTAGCTGACCAAGCAGCACCAAAGATGGAAGTCTTACAACTCACAGCAACTGAAACAGAACCATGCTCAGCCTGTGGTGACCTTCATGACTCAACAGACTGCCCATCCACTGCATTGGTGTGTTATGCAGAAAATTTTGGCAATAGGAACTTCACCAGAGACAATCAACAAGCAGGACAAAATACACATTCAAGCCCTGGAGGAACTATCATTAAAAATCAGAACCACAATATCCAATGGAGGCCACCCATTAACCAGAGACCATTCAACAACAATCAGCAGCAGTATCAGCAAGGTAGCAGCAGTGGGAACGTTTGAACAAAGAAGAAACAACTACGTTCCGTTCCACAGAGATGACCAACACATCAACACCCTAGAAAATTATGTCAAGGAATATGTCACCAGGAATGATCAGTGGTCAGGAACATTGAGTCCCATCTGGGGCAGATTGCTGCCAACCTTCAAACCAGAACACCAGGATCACTACCAGGGGACACTGAGGTCCCCTCAACCATTTCTGAAACCCCTTGAGAGGTAAGTACCATCTCTAGCTAAAGACATTAAACTAAGCGCTGACTGGGAGGCAACCTACTAGATACATTTGCTCTCTGACAAAGAGCAAAGTTTTGGGGTGGTTATCCATAACCACACAGCTCCCAAAAAGTAGGGAACGTCTGATGTTCCTCTACAAAAAGTCCAAATAAAGTACGTTCCGTTCCAGGAACGTAGTTTTGGGGTGGTCCCTGACCACACAATCCCAATATAAAAAAAAATAATAAATATATATATATATATAGATATAATTATATGTTTTTTTACATGTTCATTTAGATTTATTAAATAATAAGTGATAGGTTAGTACGTTCCCTTTTCCTTATTTAGTACTCACTGTTGCATGTTTTCTTATTATTTATTTCAGTTATTTATTTATTTATTAGTTAGGAAAAGACAAAGGGAACGTTCCCTGGGTTAGGAGATAAGAGTGACTGGGACACCTGTCCCTGCTGAGTCACTTAAAAAGATACGCAGCCATATCTAATTTGCATTCATTGCAAATCTTGGAAACGCGCACAGAAAAAGTAACCGTCTCCTCAACCATTAAGACAACTGCACCCTTTCCTTTACCTCTCTCCCACGTCTTGACCTAAACCGTTCCATCTTCTCACACTCATCCCATCAGTAACTGGTCACCTACTGCTGACCACTCGTTCTGTAACGTCCCCATTCCACTACCTCTTCAACCTCCTCTCCTTAACCTCCATGTCCCAGAAACCTTTCATTTTCTCCCCCACTGTCTATTTAAACTCGGCCTCTGATTTCTTCAAGTTCTACTTCTTCCATTCAACTCAGAACCCTTTTATCCCTCCTGCATTTGTGCCCTAACTCCCTTTCTGAACAAAATGACTAAGCTTTCATTTGAAGTGACCCCTGTAGCCAACCGCGGTGAAGAACCAGAGCTCACTGAACCCACCATCATTCTGTACCCAAAAAGGAACATTTCTCTACATCAGGACAAAGTGGTTCTGCCTCCATTTGTGAAGAAATCACTGAACAAACTTCGGTGGTTGCTTTTCGCCACTGATGACCGTGAGTTGAACTTCAACTGGGTGGGAGAATTCCTATACCAGACGAGGAGGCACCTGATGTGGTCACAGTGAGGGGAAAATAAGTATCATTTTCCCCCGCTGATGTCCAGGAAGTACTCCACCTTCCCTCTGTCACCAACTGTCCATACCAGGAGTATTTGGATAGTAGGGAGGTGTACAAATTTCAGAAGGATCTGAAGCAGACAGTAGCCCTGGACAATCCCAACTACTACAAAGGGTCCCTCTGCAAGGGGAGCATGAAGGACATAGCCAGGTTCTGGGCACTATTTGCCAACTCCAACATCTCTCCCACCTCTCATAAAGCCTCTGCTAGCTGGGGACTTCAAGTTCAAATTTACTGTATCATTAAGCACATCCCTTTTGATGTAGTAACTCTCATCTACAACAGCTTGCAGAGGGACATAAGGAAGACTAAGGTCTTCCTCCTCTGCCTCATCACCAAACTCTGCAGGAGAGCTGGTGTAGAGGAACACCCAGATGACACCACGAAGGCGGCATCTACCCTTGATGCTAAGACCTGGAACGGTCTTAAAAGCACCTATATTGACACCACCCAACCTATTCCTGCCAATCTCAGATGTTCCCCCACCAGAGATAGTGAGGAGGAAACACCTGTGGCCTCACTGAAGAAGACCACCAAGACCACTCCTACAAAATCCTCCTCCTCTGGCCCCGTTCCGGCCAGAAGAACCATCCCTCCTCCTACCAAGGTGAACAAGGATGCCCCTGTTGCTACTGATGGAAAACAGGGCAAAAAGAAATCTCCTGCCAAACCTACCCCAAGAAAGGGGGAACGTTCAAGTCATGGGATAAAGAGGGTCCTCAATAGCAATAGGCCAGAAGGAGCATCCTCTGCAAAGCCTACCACCCTCTCTGACAAGGAGGAGGAGAGTGAAGACAATAAGCCTTTAGCAAAAAGGCTGAAGGCTGGCAGAATGTCAGCACCTAAACCAGCTGCCAAGGTGACGTCCCCAAGCAGCTCAGACTCTACATTTTCTTACATTCCGTCCCCACCACCTGCTCACTCTCCACCACAACAAATCACCCCACAACCCTCTCCTAGGCAACAACAAGGAGAGGGACAGAAAGACAAAGAAGTAGCATCTGTTGCAGAGACATCAATGGCTGAGCAAGAGGCTCAGCCATAGAAGAAAGCAAAGACAACAGGCCGCAGGCAGATCAATCTGGGAGGTCCTCTGTCATTTCCTGTCATCCGTCCCGATACATCTGGGGACGAAGCTCTTGCCAGAGCTTTGGCAGAAGAAGAAGGGATGGCAATTCCTCCATTGATGAAGGAACAAGCTGTGACCATGCCCTCATCATCCAGACCACCAGTGGATGTACCCAGCACAACACCCGTTGTGCCTTCTGTTGTTGGCAATAGCCAGCAGAAGAAGCAACCTACTTCCTCCCCTACTGCAGCAATCCCCATCGCAGCTAGAAGAAAATCACAAATTGGGATTGCTGAAATCTTTGAAATGCTTGGGGAGAAATTAGAAAAATGGTTGCCAGCCAAGAAGTCCGTTCCCCAACTTGACATGACAAGCATCAATGCAGAGCTGCAGGCTCTAAGGGACGGACTGGCATAGCTTTCCTCTGCCTTCAACACCTTTCAGGAACAGCAGAAGGAGGAGAGAGAACAACAACTCAGCACCATAAAAGCAGCCATCAAGGAAGCCAGTGCTGCATCCTATGAATCAACACTCCAAGCAGTCCAAGGAGAAATTGCTAAAGCAGCTAACTCCCTAATCCTTTCCAACTCTCTGCGCAACCACACAGTAGAGCTCTTACTCAACAGGCTCGTCGCCAAACAAGCTGAGGAACGTAAGGAAACCAAAGAAGCCATCAGGGCCTTTGGAACGTACCTGGAAAGGAGAATTTATGAGTTGGAAATGAGACTGCTGGATGTTGAAAAACAAGTCATCCATTTTCGCACTGGCAGAACCATGATGAGATCCACCATCAACTCCCTGGTTGCAATCATCAGCAATCTACTGAAGGATGCTGAGAAATGGCTCCCTGCACATGAAGTCCTCAGATTAAAAGATCTGCTCAGGAGGAGACCATTGACACAGGAGGAGATTGATGAAGCCAAGGAAGCTGAAGCTGCAAAGAGGAACCCTTGGGACAGGAGACCTCCACAATGAAAAGGAGAAACCCTCCTTTTTATCTTAGCTTAGTTTGTTTTCAATTCTGTTTTTAATTTAGTTTCTTTCCGTTCCCTTGTAATTAATCTTTTTGAAATAGAAAAGACCTTTTTTTGATCAAACTGTTTGGTATATGCATGCATTTCAGTTATAGTATTAAGACTGCCCAATTCTTTTGGATTAACTAACATACATGAAACACAAAGTCACTGACTAATCATGCTTGTTCTTTCTCTGAATACTTGAAAATAGAAACAGTGCAGGGAATTTAATCCTCAGATTTTTGAAAGAAGCTGATCTGTGTGAACTCAAACTGGTAAGGAACGAAAAAATGCCAAACACCTACTTCTGAGAGCGTTCCTGAGGTGTAACCACAATGAAACTTCTCAGCTTGCCTTAATGCTGTAAGTAGTGCTGAAGACAGATGAATTCTGTTGTCAAGGATTAAAATAGAATCACACACTCACCTCACCTCCATCGTACACCATCTGGTCAATCAGAAAGAACAAGGAATGTAACACCCTCCCTTGTATTCATCCAAGAGAGTTGTTTGCTAAGCAAAATTAGAGTTTTTGACGTCTTTACTTTGATACCAAAAAATCATTTTGAAGTTGCTAATTAAAACTTATAATTGAAATCGAGTCACTTACAAAAATCAGAGTGCACTTTCAAAATTTCTTAACTTGCTGAAAATATTATTTTCCTGGCAGACGTTGCTGTCTTGAAAATTTTGTATAAAATAAATTTCAACGATCCACAAAAATATTCTTTGTAATATAGAAAGAGCACGTCTGGGGCTTCGCGTGCATATAAAATAATAGCAAATCGGAGGTCGTTTGCCTCTCAAAACATAACTCGCAAAGTGCACGCAAAACTGTTTATAAATCATCACTAAATAAACGTTTAGAAATTATTTTCGCAAAACGTTTTCAGAATTTCTCCAAAGTAAACGATAATCATAAAAGTCTCACAACAGTAATAAAATCATGGTTCCAACAGTAGTCTAAGGTTCTCCACGTAACAAAAGTACAGTCATCCAACGTCATCCAACAGACAAAATAACATCAAGTCCAAACAGTAGCAATTAACAATAATTATCCAAATAATCCATGTCCTCATATGCTCTTTCGTCCTCCTGCAATTTTATAAGAATTGCAGCCCCAAAGGGGTGAGAAAAATCCCAGTACTGTGATAGCAAAACCAATAAAGCAACAATATTAAACTAGGCACAAAATTATAAACAGTCACATCAGCATTTCATTTTCCGTTAACATATAACGCCATCATTACGCTCATAGCACCTTCGTGCGCGTACTAGCATATCATTAGTGCGTATATAACGCCATCATTACGCTCATAGCACCGTCGTGCGCGTACATACACAGTGGATATTCCATAATGGCTCCCTCAAAGGTGAATTCCAACTGTGACCTATGCGGACGGAAGCCAAGTGTCCCATACCCTGGTACCGAAGGGATGCCTATATGATGCGTGCTCAATCGTATGCATATTTATATAGATATTATTATTAGCCAATGCAACATGAAATTTATGCACGTATGCCATGCCATGCTTTCACACACACAAAAGAAAAAGGATGCATGATGAATATGCATGACTAGATTATCATCATAATAGCATGTATTTCATGTACTTTCCGTACCAAGCTGCCACATAACTATTACTTCTCATTCATGATTTTCCATCTTGTCACATTCATAGGCAGCATACATATAGCATATGACAGCACATTAATCCAAGGCACATGTGAGCAACAATTCACAATTCTATACACTAGCTAATAGTCACATTAGGTAATACCACCAAACACTTACCTTGTGTCTAAGCAATAATCAACAGCACCAAAACCAGCCCACACTTTAATAATTATGCGCACCTAATCAATGGTATAATAAGTCAGAACTTTATTCATATTACCTATTATTTATAAGCAATTCCCATGCCGCTTTATTCTTGCATTTTTACTCAAATTAACATGCTTCTTATGCTAACCAATCCCTGACTTCATACTGATCTAATGACTGATTAACAGAAATAAAATCCTAAGTCCCCAACATATACCAATTCGGTTTTTCAAGATTATTTTACTAAATGAATTTCTGACTTCTTATAAATTTAGTAGCTCATTACAATGATGAAATCCAACACATACAGGTTCGGCTTCCTTAGCATAAAAGCATTCAGGATTTTTATTTAAATAGCCAACCCCACTAAGCCTAGGGTACGGTAAAGGGGCCTAGAGCATGTTGTCCCTAAATTTCTTAACCCCAACAAATTTGGTTTCTTACCAAGGAGAATGCTCACGGAATTTCTCGTTCACATAATAACTCTCCTAGGTCATGTGTGTGCTAAAGGGGGTCTTTATGTTATCAAAAAAAAAAAAAAAAAAAAAAAGGGGTCTTTAAACATGCTACACAATTAATTTTAATACATGTATTATTGGGTACATGTTCCTAGCCATTAAACCGCCCCATGATTATTTTTATTCAAATAACTTCCACCTTCCTAGACCTATGTTGCGCAAAAGAGACTTGAAACATGTTGTCAAAATAATCCAATCCACCTAATTAATTTGGTTAGTCAAAGGGGCCGCCCAATAAACTGTACAGAGAACTATTCTCCAATTTCGCCAAAAATTCAGCTTAGACCCACAAGCAATAAATCCTAGGCTGCTAAAAAAAAATAATCCAAGAAAGCAAGAAGTCAAAATAAAATGTTCTCTAATTCTTGCAAATTTTCTCGGTTCTCATAGTTCCACAACTAGAGAAATTTTCTGATTGATAGTTAATACCTTTATATGTTAGCAACGAAAATTCCAAGTTTTCCAAAATGTCCAACATCGGTTTCTCATTATTGGAATGGGTTCAGGGTATTTATTTACCTGACTATTTCGTTTAAGCCAAGGTGCGCTAATGGAGAAAAACTAAGCATACTGTCCAATAATTTTACTCATGCAATACTTGTTACCCAAAATTGCCCAATCAATACAGTCCATCAACTTGATAAGAGAACTGTTTCCCCGCCCAAGATTCAGATTTCTTTTACAGTTTTCAATCCTAAGTCCAAGGGGTCCAACAAAGCAGAATAACATGTTGAATAAACGTTAAATGTGGAGTTATGTGTCAGTTTAATTTTTAATGGGTTTAATTCAGCAATCAATTTAGTTTTTAATGGGTTTAATTCAGCAAACGTTAAATGTCAGTTTTATGTTTTTAAGTTTCTGAAATTATGTGAGTTTATTGTGATGTTAAGTGTCTTTATTGTAGAGTTACAAGTTTTGTAATTTAAAAATCTATTGTTTGAATGAAAAGTTACGACTTCTGCCTTAGTAAAAATCCTTTGTTTTACTCTTCTCCTAACAAATTGGTATCAGAGCTATGGAAAAGGGGAGTGATATGGCACTACCTAAGTTGACGAAGGAGAACTACGAGAATTGGAGCATCCAGATGAAGGCTCTTCTCGGATCCCAGGACGCTTGGGAGAATGTTCAAGCAGGTTTTGTAGAACCACAGGATACTGGAGGCTATTCAGCGGCTCAAACTAAAGCGTTGAAAGAGACGCGTGCAAAAGACAAGCTGACGTTATTCATGCTCTTCCGAGCTGTAGACGAATCCAGGTTTGAGAAGATAGCAAATTGTGAGACCTCAAAGGCAGCCTGGGACATCTTGGCAAATGTCTATAGAGGAGCTAACCGGGTTAAACAAGTCCGGCTTCAAACCCTTCGTGCCGAGTTGGAGGGAATGAAGATGAAGGACACGGAAGGAGTATCCGGGTTCGTTGCCCGGGTTCAAGGAATTGTGAACCAGTTGAAACGGAATGGAGAAGATATACCTGACACCAGAGTGGTGGAGAAAATCTTGAGATCTTTGACAGACCAGTTCGAAAACGTGGTTTGTGCGATAGAGGAGTCCAAGGATCTGTCTACACTCACCATTGACGAGTTGGCGGGTTCCCTTGAAGCGCATGAACAAAGAAAGAAGAAGAAGGAGGAAACTCTTGAGCAGGTACTTCAGACCAAAGCAACAATTAAAGATGAGAAGATGCTCTATTCTCAAAGTTTCCGAGGTAGAGGACGTGGCCGCAGTGGACGAGGTACTAGCCGTGGTGGTAGAGGTCGAGGCCGAAGTCAAGAAGTGTATGGTGATGAGGTAGGACAGTCAAATCAACAAAACTGGAGAGGACGAGGACGAGGTCGACGAGGAGGTCGGTCACATTATTCAAACATCGAGTGTCACAAATGTGGAAAACTTGGTCACTATGCGAAAGATTGTAACTCGGACAAGTGTTACAACTGTGGCAAAGTCGGACATTTCGCAAGAGAATGCAGAGAGGAGAAAAACGTGGAGGAGACGTCCAACCTAGCCACAGAAGGCGAGATGAAGGATGGTGTCTTGTTAATGACACACAGTGAAGGAAGTCCTGACGATGACATGGAGTGGTATCTTGACACGGGTGCGAGCAACCACATGTGCAGACATAAACACTTCTTCAAGGAGATGATAAAAGTGGAAACCGGACATGTTTCGTTCGGGGATGCCTCAAAGGTTAAGGTAAAAGGCCGAGGTACGATCTGTTTCCTACAAAAGGACGGGTTAATTGGCTCAATTCGAGATGTGTACTATGTACCCGACCTAAAAAGCAATATTTTAAGCATGGGTCAACTGATGGAGAAAGGTTACTCGGTTATTATGAAAGACCGGGTATTGTATTTGAAAGATGAGCAAGGTCGGATGATAGTCCGAGTTCAAATGGGTAAGAATCGTATGTATAAACTGAATTTGAAATGTGTACAGGTTGAATGTTTACAAGCCGAGGTAGAAGATAAGGCATCACTTTGGCATCTCCGGTTTGGTCACCTACATTATAGTGGTCTAACCAAGTTGGCAGAGAAAAAGATGGTGGACGGGTTACCTGACATAAACTTTGAAGGAAAGTTTTGTGAGAGTTGTGTACTTGGCAAGCATGCCAGGACCACGTTTCAGAAGATGGCAAGATTTCGGGCTAAGCAACCTCTGGAACTAATACATACCGACTTGTGTGGACCCATCAATCCGGGTTCCTTCAGCGTTAAGAAGTATTTTATTTCCTTTATTGATGATTTCTCACGGAAAACTTGGGTTTACTTTCTGAAGGAGAAGTCCGAGGTGTTTGATGTGTTCAAAAAGTTCAAGGTGATGATTGAGAAAGCAACAGGAAGCTATATCAAATCGGTGCGGTCTGACAGAGGTGGGGAATATACCTCAACAACGTTTATGTCGTTCTGTGAGGAACAGGGGATAAGGAGGTTTCTAACAGCACCATACTCACCACAACAGAATGACGTGGCTGAAAGGAAGAACCGGACTATTCTTGACATGGTTCGGTCAATGCTGAAGAACAAAAGGATGCCGAAGGAGTTTTGGGCGGAAGCTGTGCAGTGTGCTGTGTATGTGCAGAACCGATGTCCACATTCAAGCTTGGATGACAAAACACCACAAGAAGCATGGAGAGGTCAAAAGCCTTCAGTGGCTCATCTCAGAGTTTTTGGTAGTGTGGCCTGTGCACACATACCGGACCAGCTCAGAACCAAGCTCGAGGATAAAAGCAAGAAATATGTTTTTATTGGATATGATGAAAAAACAAAGGGGTATAAGCTGTTTGACCCCGTCAACAAGAAAGTCATAGTGAGCAGAGATGTAAAGCTCAATGAAGCAAATGAGTGGGACTGGAGCAATTCATCTTAGATAAACTTTGAAGACGGAATCACAACACAAATTATCAACCCGGCAAGTCCTGAAGCTTCTGATGATGAAGACGAGGTACGACAACCCAGGATGCGGAGCATACAAGACATATATGAGTCAACAAGTGAGGTACATTTTGTTTGTCTTCTTGCAGATTCTGAAAATATAAGCTTTGAAGAAGCCATCCGAGATAAGAAATGGCAAGACGCCATGGATGAGGAGATAGAAGCCATTGACCGAAATAACACATGGGAGTTAGCCGAGCTACCAAAAGGAAGTCGGCCCATTGGAGTGAAGTGGGTGTTCAAGAAGAAGATGAATGCTCAAGGGGAGATAGAACGATATAAAGCTCTGCTAGTTGCAAAAGGTTATAAGCAGAAGGCTGGAATTGACTATGACGAGGTGTTTGCCCCTGTTACAAGGATGGAGACAATTCGGCTACTCATCTCACAGGCTGCTCAATACAGATGGCCAATACATCAAATGGATGTAAAGTCGGCATTCCTGAATGGTGTTCTTGAAGAAGAAGTTTATGTTGAACAACCGCCGGGTTACATGAAGGCAGGAGAAGAGAAGAAGGTGCTGAGATTGAAGAAAGCACTTTACGGGTTGAAGCAAGCACCACGAGCATGGAATGCTCGTATAGACAAATATTTCAAGGAGAATGGACTTGAACAATGTCCATATGAACATGCTGTTTATGTCAAGAAAAATGGAGGAGACTTGTTAATTGTGGCTCTTTATGTTGACGACCTCATTTTTATGGGAAACAATGCCAAGATGATACAAGAGTTCAAAAGCACAATGACAAGAGAGTTCGAAATGACAGATCTCGGTTTTATGAAGTTCTTTCTCGGTTTGGAAGTAAAACAAAATGAGAAGGGAATCTTCGTGTCGCAGGAGGCTTATGCAAAAAAGATTTTGAAAAAGTACAAGATGGAAGATTGCAACCCGGTTTCAACACCAACGGAACCCGGTTCAAAACTTTCTAAGTTTGATGGAGGAGACCGTGTTGATGCAAGCAAGTACAGAAGTTTGGTGGGAAGCCTACGCTATCTCACATGCACGAGGCCGGATATCTCGTTGAGTGTCGACATAGTAAGTCGGTTCATGGAGGAGCCAAGATACACACATTGGAAGGCGGTAAAGAGAATTCTGAGGTATGTTCAAGGTACAGTTTCACACGGGTTACACTACTCGAGCTCGGCAAAATACAAGTTGATTGGATATTCTGACAGTGATTGGTGTGGAGACGTAGATGATCGAAAGAGCACGGCTGGTTATGTGTTTTTCATGGGCAACACGACATTCACTTGGATTTCGAAGAAGCAACCTATTGTGACACTGTCGACATGTGAAGCTGAATATGTAGCTGCATCTTGGTGTGTTTGTCATGCAATGTGGCTCAGGAATTTGCTAAGCAAGCTGGAGGAAAAACAAGTCGGCCAAACTGTGATCCGAATTGACAATAAGTCGGCTATAGAGCTAGCCAAGAACCCGGTAAATCATGAAAGAAGCAAGCATATTGACGTCCGATTTCACTTCATCCGGGATCAAGTAAAGGAAGGAAATGTGGAGCTAACACACGTGACCAGTCAAGAGCAAGTCGCGGATATCTTCACGAAACCACTACCGACGGTACTCCTTGACAACTACAAGAAATTGATCGGCATGAATGATGGCAGAAGCATTTAAGTTTACGGGGGAGTTTTGTTGAATAAACGTTAAATGTGGAGTTATGTGTCAGTTTAATTTTTAATGGGTTTAATTCAGCAATCAATTTAGTTTTTAATGAGTTTAATTCAGCAAACGTTAAATGTCAGTTTTATGTTTTTAAGTTTCTGAAATTATGTGAGTTTATTGTGATGTTAAGTGTCTTTATTGTAGAGTTACAAGTTTTGTAATTTAAAAATTTATTGTTTGAATGAAAAGTTACGACTTCTGCCTTAGTAAAAATCCTTTGTTTTACTCTTCTCCTAACATAACGAACATGATTATAAATTAAAACTACCCTCTTAATATACTTGCAGATCGCATAGAGAAAAAGGAGTGGAGGAGTTAAAACTCGGTTTACCTCCTTGGCTACAGACCAGTAATCTATCTCAATCGAACCAGAAACAGCCTTCTACTCTTTCCTATCTCCCCAAAACCGAATCCAGCTGCAAGCAAGAGTGGAGATGAGCTCAACCACCGCTGGTTCAGGAGCATGCAACGAAATGAAAAGAAAACAACTTAATTAGGGTCAACCGAATGGAAGGAAACAAGAATTATCTCACCTCTTTGATGGGTGTTCACGGCTGACAGGGGGAAAGCAGCAGAATAATGAGAGGAATTTGTACTTTACTCTCCTCTGGTGGTGACTCGACCGAATGGTACCGGGAAGGAAAGGAAGACTTGAACGTTGAGTTCTTTACTAAGGAACGCTCACGGTTCTGTGCAGAAGAGGGAAGTGGGTTGTGTTCTATGACTTGAACCAAGGGATGTTCAACGGTTCTGCCTTGATCTTTTTGGTGCGTATAGGTGAGGACGTTGTGTTGGGTTCTTCTTCCGGGTTTGAAGAAAATAGGGGAGAGAACAGTTTACGATTTGTAAATCATTATTTGCCCCAACAAGTTGTTTAACCGAAGCAAGGGGGAAAGGAGGAAACTTCTTAACATTAGGCTGAACCAAAAACTAACAGTACTATGCGTACACTAGAAAGGAAGTGGGGAAAGGGTGTGGTGTGTGGATTTCGGGCCAATCAGAAGACATGCAAGAGGAATAGAAGGCATGTGGCGGTCATGCAAGGGGATAGGAGGACTGGGTGTCACGCATGCAAGAGGTTTGTGACATTAGTTACCATGTGTAGATCCTAAACCAATCATGGACAACCTTGAAGGATCCTTAGGATAAGGTTAAGATGGATGAAAGTTTTGAGCTGAAGTTAAGTCCCACAACATGGCGTATGGGTCGTCGACTTTGGGAAATAGGGTCCAAAAATTATAAGTCCAATTGTTCTCCTATCTTAGGAATTAACCCTTGCCTTATAAATTTATGTGCCCTCTACTTCTCTGCCAAAGGGTTTGTTCTTTGAAATAAAATTACTCACCTACTTTTAATGAGTACTCATATAATTCTAAGTAGTGTTATGCTTTCCATGTATTATAATTTAATTATTCCTGCACTCCTAACTAGAATTTCACATGCATAAAATAGGTACTCATCCTCCATGGTAATACCAATAATTCCCTAATTTAATTTAACTACATCCTAAAGCAAACATTTATATAATCCGAAAACAAGTAGTCCACCACATTCCTAATTGCAATTTAAATAGGTTCCTAATTAGACGGGATGTTACAAGGAACGTACTCAACAATGAACAAAAAAAGGACAGAAGGAAAAAAAACAAAGAAAAAGGGGAACAACCATTCAAAAGAATTCAAGAAAAACCAGAAAACCTTCCTCCAAAGGGGGAAAAAAGTTTAAGAAAAGGTGTTCCCTCAAAACAGAAAAAGTCCAAGTTCAAAGGCACAAAAGCTAAACGTTCCTTGATCCCACAAATCAGACCACCACTTCTTCCACATTTCCATACACTTACCCATCAAAGAATCCTTGGAACGGAAGACAACTGTACTTCATAGGAACGCAGCAGAAAGGCAAGTTCTGAAGAATCACATCCAGGAATGGACAAAGCAAACACCAACCCATGAGTGACAGTGAGACAAAAGAACAGCAACCTTCTCTTATCTGGGGACAGAATCCTCTTCTGTTTACTATGGAGAGTAGTTCATTTTCTGAAAAGTTCATGGTTGCTCACTGGCTCAAGTTCCTTTCTGTTATGCTATTCTTTTAAATTGGGCAGACCAATACAATATTTCTGAGTTGTTTGAGGACAACCAACAGTTTAGTTATGGGGTGTTTGATGGGATGTATATTCGTTCCCATCTAAGCCCATTTTGATGGCAAAATACCATACGTTCCCTCATCTGATGAGCAACTTCAGCATGAAAATCACTTGTTTTACACATTTGTGACAAAAACACAGTGGGGGAACGGATAGTAACGTATTCCTTTAAAATATATTAAAAGGGGAACAGGCTGAGACACATTTAATGCACCTGCTCCATTCATTTAATGCCTCTGTACACTTTGCAGGTAACGTAGAGTTAAAGACTTCTAAAAAGCAAGGCGGTGCACCAACTGAGCAGCTGGAAACGTGAAGAGCAGAGAATCAAGAGTTCTCATTGGCTGAAAACAAAAGCAAAGCATGGGAAGGTCTGCACACTAATCATCACCAAATCCTGTTCCATTCAGCAATTCACGCAAGCTTCACACTCTGCTGCCACAGTCCCGTCCCCTCATTCAAGCAACTAGCTCCAAAGGAATTACAGTCTTGCCACTCGTCTTCCAGCTATAAATAGGACCACCCTCACACAAAAACATCATCGAATCCTGGAGGGTTTGCAGTCCGAAAGGAAGAGATCACTTAGTAATAGTTAGTAACTTAGTTTAATTTTAAGTTGTAACTGTAGTTAAGTGACAACCCCTCTTCTCTTCTCTCTAAACAACCATCAAGACTCCATGAGCAAATACCCATCTTTCTCCATTTTCTGTTTCTTTTCGTAACTGTCTTTTAAATTAATATAAGTGTTTTTCTCTTCGTTCCAATCGTTATCTCTTGACTGAATCTCGGGTCTATGTGATCTCAGTTGAGAATAATTATGTTTAAACTATCAGCCATGAGCTGAACTATCTGTGGAACGGGTAAGCTGTGAAACTCTTAAAGAACTGTTTTCAAAACTCTTGACCGAAGCTTTTTGTATTTCTTTGGCTAAGTAAGCTATATTCATTGTGCGCCAATGGAAATTGGCTACATACTGAGAGAGGAACTTCCATAAGGAAGGGATTTCAGACAGCTTAGCCATTGGGGGAAGGTAGTGTTATGGCAAAAACACTACTGGTCACTTTAGGAATAAGGGGCCAACTCGTCTATTTTAAGGTTCTGTTCTAAGTACCTGTTGGAGTCAAGGGAGCCATAGGAATATGGAAACTTGTGAGCCATCTAGTCCATGAGCTGAGGAATCAGAGTTGGCAGACAAGAAACTGGGACAAAGCCAAAAAGTGCTAAGTCTTGAGCAGAGAAAACAGCCCCTTTAAGAGTGGAGCAGTAAATCCGTTCCTTCTGTTAAACTGTTTTAGTCACCACCCTGTTGTCTCTTGATTATAGTTATTTCTGTTTTTGTAGTTTTTACTTTATTTAATCTTGCACTTATAAAACCCCAATGATTATTATCTCACCTTCTTCTAAACATGAAGGATCACATACATAACGCAGCGAGCAATTTTTTGTCACCAGATTGAACCTACTGTTCCTGAGGAACATTGTCAAGACAGTAGGGAACGTTTGACCAGACAGTTCATTCACTAACTTTTCTTCTCATCTTCATTCTTTATAAAATAGTATAAGACAATAATTAGGACTCTATCCTCGTGACAACGATAATTTGGGCACTAATACTCCTTTTATTACTTGATGCGTGCACTTGCGTACTTGGGTTGGAACTAAGGGAACGAATCTATGTTCTGCAAGAACAGAGAAACGTCCCCTATCAGAACTTATATTTTTCCACCATCAGCAAACCACCCAACATGGCACAAACTCAGCTGTGCACTAATATACGACATCTCACCTATACCAGTCATCTCACCAATTCAGGATACTTCCAAGGATCATAGTCCTTATAGAAGATAATAATAGTCTCCGGGAACATAATCCGCGCAGAGATAACACGAGTCTCCGGGAATATAATCCACACAGATATAGCCATACACTCCGGGCACATAAGCCGCACAAAGATAACAATAGTCTCCGGGCACATAAGCCGCACAGAGATAATACCAGTCTCCAGGCACATAAGCCGCACAGAGATAACAACAGTCTCCGGGCACATAAGCCGCACAGAGATAATATCATATCATGTCCGTATATAACTGCAAAATGTGTTTTGTATAAACATATGAGGCTACTCTCATTATAGGAATAGTGGTATACTAGACATATTTCACATATGCATAAATCACTGTGACTTCCTGGGTATTTTTCTTTCCATGAATGGTCTACACATTTATCTTGACTAGTCATCCGACCTAGTTCATAACACAACCAATATCTCATGATTCCATAATCCTTCTCCAAGTTCTGTACACATCTCACATCTCTTAATATAATATATCATATTTCCCACATATAATTCCCATCACACGAGGATTTTTTTTTTTAAACCCAACCGTCCAACCATATAGAACTAATTGCACCTCAGTCCTTACACTGATAACTGTACATCAGTCCTTGCATTGAGAATTACACGTCAGTCCTTGCACTGACAATTACACATTAGTCCTTGCACTGATAATTACACGTCAGTCCTTGCACTGACAATTATACATCAGTCCTTGCACTGATAGTTACATGTCAGTCCTTGCACTGATAATTACACATCAGTTCTTGCACTGATAATTACACGCCAGTCCTTGCACTGACAATTATACATCAGTCCTTGCACTGATAATTACACGTCAGTCCTTGCACTGACAATTATACATCATTCCTTGCACTGATAATTACACGTCAGTCCTTGCACTGACAATTATACATCAGCTCATTAGCTAATCTTATCATTTTCATATTTACATTACACATTAGCTCTTTCGCTAACCACGTAATTTCACGCTCTATTGCACATTAGCTCTTCCACTAACCATGCAAATTTTAATTCCTATTGCACATTAGCTCTTCCACTAACCATGCAATTCAGCTCAATAGCACATTAGCTCTTACACTAATCATGCCATTCTAATTACCATTGCACATTAGTTCATACACTAATCATACAATTTCACATTAAATTATACATTAGCTCTCTCACTAATCATACAATCTCACATTAAATTGTACATAAGCTGTTTCACTAATCATACAATCTCTTTCCCTTAATGGTACATTAGCTCATTCACTAATCATACCATTTCACTTTATTGTTGGAAAGCAATAGCTCACAATATCTTGTCACAGTTCTAATCCATTACCTGTTACGACTCTCATAAAACTATACTCAATACTGTAGAGCAACCCATCAATCTTCTTGCTCACTTCTACCCTTGGTGTTCGTAGAATATCCATTACATTGAAAT